TTATACAATTTTTCTCAATCCTCAGTTAAATTGAAAGATGAGTTTCGCCGTTGGTCAAAAAGACAAATCTCCATCATCTTCTCCAAATGACTCTAAAAGTCCGCTTGAAGAAATCAATGATCCGAAGCGGCATGAAGAATTGGAATCTGGTGGTATGATCGTTGGACCGAATCATCCAAGCTTTAAAGAAGGAAACGAGAGATTTACTCACCCAGGTTTTAGTGATGAGTTAAGATTACCTCCTGAAGGAGCTCCACATGGTGCACGCTTCGACCCAATTGTCCCGTACGACACACCTAGATCCGGTTGTAGATCTGAACCGATCGCGGGACCCGATCAAGATGAATTTCTTCCTCCTGGGCAGGAACCGCCACCTTCGTTAAAACAACAAAGTAGATCTGATTCGTCTTTATTTAATGTAAATGTATTAGGCAAAAAAGGATTTGGTAGAGGATTTGGAGGTCCCCCAATTTGAGTCATGAAATTTTCTACTTAATTGATAAATTGATATAATATTGTATCTTTCGAATCCCATGTTTATTTTTACTTCTTTTATTTGAAAATGTGCAAACATGTAAAGTTATAGGAATTCTTTCTAGGCAACACTTGTGAACATTTATCATCATTTTATTCTTATGAATGAACCTGTTTCGCGCGATGCTTTTTTTTTTTTAGTAAGTGTTGACCATAATATCTAGAAAATATTTTTATGTAAATAGTTAGTTCTTGTAATTTTTATCTGAATAAAAGGTTGTATTGTTTTGTTGTTATTGTTTTTTATGAAATCTCTTTATCTTATGGATTAGTTAATTGGATTTAAAAAAATTTTTTTAAAACTATATTATACAACGTTATAGAATTTAATTTAACATTAATTTTCATATCTGTTAGCTTATTGTTATTATTTTATTTAATTTATATAATACAAGATATATTGTATATTTTTTAAAATTATTTTTTTATATGTAAATATAACAAGTTAAATGTTAACTTGCTTACAAAGACACATAGCTGATATTGAAAAAAAAATTTTTTTAACAATTAATGCTAACAAAAATTTATATAATTATTATTGATAATTAAACAATATAAAATACATAAAAAAATATTATTATTTAATTAAGTTTTTTTTCTCTTTTTATTAAAATTTCATATTTTTTTCTTTTGTTTTTTATAACTATATAAAATAAATTAAAAATATTTAATTAAAAAAAAACTTGAATATAGCTTGTTATTTGAAATTTATTTTAAAATTGTTAATTGAATCAAAAGTAATGTTTTTGTTTTGATTAATTTTAATAAATAAAAAATATAAACTATAATATAATATAATATAATTTTTATATAAAATTATATTATATAATTGAATTAAAGTTTTAATTGATATTTTAATTCAATTATTAAATTTAAAGTAAAATAAAAATATTATTATTATTATATATTAATTCAATTTTAAATATGAATTATTAGTTTTTAATTATTATTAAAATAAAAGATAAAATTAATAAATCTTATAATTTAATTGGTTTTTTAAGTTTTTTTTATAAAAATTTTTTTTTTTTTTTTTTTTGAAAAGAGCAAATGGCTATCACGCTTTATTATATTTATTATACTTTCACTTACAA